TCCGGGCCCCGCCCCCCGCAGGTGCCCCGCCCCCGCAGGTGCCCCGCCCCGCCCTCCGGGTGACCCCGCGTCCCGCGCTTCCGGCTCAGGCTCACCATAGTCTTTGCCGCGCAGGAGCCTGTCCCTCCACAGCGCGCTCCCCCAGCGGGTGTTCGGGCTCTTGTACTGGGCGGGGAGCACGGGGTCGTACCACGCGTTGTCCCGCACGTGCTGAGTGTAGGCTGCGGGGGCGGGGCCGGTCAGGGCGGGGCACCGCGTGGAGGCGGGGCCTACCCTGAGTGACTGGGTGCCCTGTGGGCGGGGCTTCTCCCGGGGTGGGCGGGGCGCCGTATGGAGGCGGGACCTATCCTGAGAATGGACTGGGTGCTCCATGGGCGGGGCACCGAGTACAAGGCGGGGCCTGTCCTGTGAGTGGACTGGGTGCCGGGAGGCGGGGCTTCTCCCGAGGGTGGGCGGGACAGCTCGCGGAGGCGGGGCCTGCCCTGTGAGTGGACTGGGTGCCTGGAGGCGGGGCCTCTCCCGAGGGTGGGCGGGACAGCTTGTGGAGGCGGGGCCTGTCCTGTGAGTGGACTGGGTGCCGGGAGGCGGGGCCTCTCCCGAGGGTGGGCGGGACAGCTCGCGGAGGCGGGGCCTGTCCTGTGAGTGGACTGGGTGCCGGGAGGCGGGGCCTCTCCCCGGGAGCAGCCTGGCCTTGGGGGTGACCCTGGGAGCAGGGGGCGCTCACCGGGGGGCAGGCCCCGCTGGCGGTGGTCGAAGCACCCGTGCCAGCGGGCGTAGGCCTCGCGGTAGGGGCTGTCCAGGGCCCGGGGCAGGTTGTACCAGGCTTCGCGGGGGTCCGAGTTGGTCAGGCCGGTGTACAACAGCTGGCCGGCGGCGTCGCGTCCCATGGGCGAGTACTTCCAGCGCGTCCCGTGCTTGATGGCCGGTGTCCAGCGAGGCCCCTCCATGAACAGGTAGTCATCGCTGAGGGGGGCCGAGGGTGAGCGGGCGGCTCTGGCCGGCCCCAGCCTCAGCTTGCCGGAATCCAGAACGGGAGTCTCCCTGAGCTTGTCCCATCCAACCCCTATAACCCGGGGAGACCTCTGACAGAGGGGCCGGGTGCGGCCTGGTCAGACTGGAAGGACCTTTTGGAGCACTTCCTCCAGGAAGACCCCCTGCCTGGGAGCGCCCCAGGACGCTGAGCGAGAGCGGGGTGGGTGTTGGCAGACTCAGGTTAAATGATACGATGTGTCTGCATCTGAAGGCAGAACCTGGCCTAGGCTGAGGTCAGGAAGGGACTGTGGACGTGGTAAACAGCATGTGCAAAGGTCCCGGGGCAGTGTAGATGGTTAAACAGAATCTGCAGTGAACACGGGCCAAACACACTTCAGGGTTACTAAAATCTGGGGCAAGGCCCTGGGTGAATCCCAGCACACCGTATGAACTTCCCACAAAAAGACTTTGCTGCCAGGCATGGTGGTGCGGCCTCTAACCTCAATCCTCAAGAGGACTGAGTGTTCCTGGCTAGCCCCAGCTCCATAGCAAGGTTGTCTCCAAACGAACCTGCACCTGGCTGTTTCTCTTTGTAGTGTTTTCTGCCACCTCCCAGAGGAGCCATGTGGGGCTGCCTTTTCCATCTGGCTTTGGATTGGCCTGAGCTTAAGAGGAAGGGTCCCTTGCTGGGCGCCGGTGGCGCACACCTGTAATCCCAGCTACTCAGGAGGCTGAGATCTGAGGATCGCGATTCAAAGCCAGCCCAGGCAGGAAAGTCCATGAGACTCATCTCCAATAAACCACTAGAAAACCGGAAGTGTGTGGCTCAAGCAGTAGAGCGCTCGCCTTGAGCTGGGCACAGGGACAGCGCCCAGACTCAGAGTTCAAGGCCCACAACCGACCAAAAAAAAAAAGAGGAAGAGTCCCCATCACCCAGGTTGGTTTGGAACTGACCCACCTCAGCATCCCAAGGGCTGAGATCACAGATGTGTGGGGTCCCGTTCCCCCATGCCCACAGCTTCTCATTTTTGAGCTGGTGCTGACTTGGACTCTGGGCCTTAGGCACTCTGCTTTTTTGCCAGTGGTTTACCACTTTTGAGCCATACCACCCTCCTGGCATTTTGCAGGTCAATGGCTATGAGTCTGGACTTCTCTGAACCAGCCAGGTCTGAGTAGCCTGGATGGCAGGCTGGATCCCTGGTGGGGGGGGGGGGGATTTTGTTTGGGCCTGGGGAACTGAGAACAGGGCTGTCAGTGGCTCCAGACCACAGGGTGGCGCTCGAGCTCTGCTCACTGCCAGAGCCCACCCAGCAGGAAGCCACGCAGAGCCCCGGTGTGCTGGCGGGGACCCACCTGTGGTGAGGGGCCGGGAAGTCAACTTCAAGGGTGCCCAAGGGGACGTAGGGCCGGGCAGCCTCCCGCCTCAGGGTCTGCATGTCTGCCTCTGCATCCCAAGGCTCCGGGAAGGGAGGTACTAGGGCCACTGTTGACAGGGACAAAGGCCACCCACTCCCGTGTCCTGGCAACGGGCGGGGGGTCAGCCCTGGGCCCCGCCCTGCCTTTGTCCTCCCCCTCCCCAGCTGTGGGGGGCCACTACAATGGATAGGGGGCATTTGGGGCCCCTGCTTTTTGGCATCTCAGGCCCTTCGGCACCCTCCAGCTCTCCCGCCCTCGCCCCTCCCCGACCTCGCACGGCGCTCTCGGCAGTAATGGGGAGCACTGCGCCCACCGCGGGAGGAGCACGCGGGGCACCGCACCCCACGTGGGAACATCACACGCCCAGGCACAGGCTCAAGACACACAGACACGAAGGGCCACACCGGGCTCTGTGGATGAGAAACGTCCAGAACTGGACCTGCACAGGAAGTGGGCGTGAGGGGTGGGACGGACAGGGAGGGGTCTCGGCGGCAGCTCCGGGGATGAGCTTCCTTTTGGTGATCAGGGGAAGTTCTGGAAGTTCGGATTGTTATAAAACTGAATATACTAACTCCACTGAACCGTTTGGTTTTTGGCAGTATATTGTTACGCATATTACCACAAGAAAATGTAAACACAACCACCGAGGGCCGGCGTCTGCCCTTCCGCTTCCCCCAGGCAGCCAGGTCCCACCTAGGGGCCCCAGTCCTGCCCTGCCTGTGTGCCAGGCTCTGTCCTGCCCCAGGGCCTTGGCATGGGCTGCGGGCTTTGTCCTTCAGCCGTCTGTCCCACAGACTAAGCCCCAGGCACGGGGTGGCCTGGCCGGCCACGCCCCTCCCTCGCACTCAGCGGCCCCTCACCTTCTCTGCTCCCCTTCCTCGCTACCACTACTCACCAACCAGACCCCCACCAGCACTTGCAGTCCCTCCTTCCCTCCTGCCCCCCGCCACGTGCCCCTCCCCACCCCTTCCTCTACACCGACAGCTACCTTCCACGACCAGCACACCTCCAGGTATCCCTCCGTGAGATGCTCTGGGCAGTGCCAGGTCAGGGCCTGGCACTCTACCCAAGAGCCCTTCTGCCCCCTCATGGGGGCCAGGCCCTGTCTACACCTGTCACCTCTCTGCCACCCCAGCACAAGGACCCAGCTCAGCGCCCACAGGACGAGGCTCCTGCAGGGCCCCCGCAGCGGGGCGGCTCTGCCCGGCACCTCGCCCTGCCCAGCACCTCACTGTGCCCCGCATCCTTTGCCATCGAGCTGGCAGGGCTGGGGGCGCAGCCGCGCTTTTCCTTTTTTGTGCTCAAAGTTGGCACTCGAGCCAGAGCTCCAACTTCTGGCTTTTTGGTGGTCTATTAGACATGAGTCTCATAGACTTAACCTGCCCAGGCTGGCTTCGAACCTGCATCCTTAGAACTCAGCCTCGGGAATGGCTGAGATTACTTGGGAGCCACCCACGCTGGCTGGGCTTTCCTCATTAAGAAGGAACCTCAGAGAGGCGTAAGGGGTTGCACGCCAGCCATGCCCTGCGACCAGCACGCCGTGGCAGGTCAGGGGTCACTGTGACCCAGGGCGGCCACCCAGCCCTGCCCGTGCCTCCAAAACTCCAGGACTGGCAACAAAACACAGAAACAGACGTGAGGGAGTCACAAATACATATATACACATGCGCACAGGCGCTGGCCAGCAGGCCCCGCCCCGGCAGGAGGGGCTGAGGATGGGGCACTGCTGGCTGCTTGGGGGAGAGGGGGTAAGAAGACACAGGATCTGAGGTCAGGGAAGCCCCGGAAGGCCTCCAGAGGGCTGAGCGCCCTTCCCACGGCAGGCGACCAGATGGAGACAGGCAGGCGGCCGCGCACCGGGCGGGGGGAGGGAGGATGGACACACCTGGTGCCCTGGTTACTCGCGGCCCTGTGCCCACGGCGGACGCAGAGTCACACGAGCAGGGGAAGCAGAGAGGCGAACGCAGGACACACGATGGCCAGCACTCAGCGAGTTTCACGATGACAGGTCCACCACCAGATGTGGGGCAGCAGGCACCCACGCTGTCCCCAGCTGGCACCGAGGCTGCCTAGCAGGTGGAGCCATGGCGCTGCAGATGCCCTGGGTCCATGGCCCCTGGCTGGTGGCGGCTGACCCGTGGTCTCAGGCCAGCCTGGTGTCCAGCTGTCTGTCCAACATAGCCACGGGCAGCAGTGGCAGTGGCCCAGGTTCCAGGCAGCACCGGACAGCGCCGTGGGTCCCTGGCGTCCACTGTGCTGACTGCTGATGGCTGGCGCGGGCCAAGGCCCCGGGGACACTGGGGGTTCGGCTCTCCAAGAAGGGTGACACCAGGGCCCGCTGCGGAGGGTCCCGTGTCCCCGCCCCAGACACTGGTGGACATGGCTCACAATCAGGCATTTAATGAGACTCTTCGGGGGTCTCCAGACCCAGCGCCCGCCCGGCCGCCCGCCGTCTCCTCCAGGGACTGTGCGGGGCGGGGACGCGGGTCCATGCAAGCTGGCAGGCGGTCTCCACAGGGACACGCTCCGCCCGTGGGCCTATCGGATCCGGGTGAAGAGGTTGAGCACCGACACGGACTCCTGTGGACACGGGGCTCGTGAGCAGCGGCGGGGCGGCGGGGCCAGGCTGCGCGTGGGGCTGGGGCAGGGCCTGCCTTACCTTTGTCGATCGCGTTTTGCTAAAGACGTTCCAGAACCTCAGGGTCTCGTCGCCAGCCCCGGTGACGATGGCCTCCCCGTCAGGGGACATTGCCTGCGGAGAGGACAGGACAGCTGCAGGCAGCGCTGGGGGCAGAGGGGGGGGCAGAGGCGGGAGGCGGTGGGACGCGGTCACTTTGGAGGTGGCAGCTGCGTGCCCGCGGGGAAACAACGCCCAGGGCCACACAGGCTCTGGGGGGGAGCAGAATGGGGTACCTGGCTAGCAGGGCCCACGGCCTGTGGGGTGACACGTGACTTCTCCCCCCAATGTCAGTGGAGGGGTGCTGCGATCGGGTGGAGGTGTGAGCGTGCCCTGCCCCCAGCCAGCGGCCACTCACCAGGTAGAGGACGCGGTACGAGTGGCCGGTGAGCTTGGCCACCTGGGTGAGGGACGGGTACTTCCACACGAGGATCTGGTTCTGTGAGTAGCCGTGCGTGCTCACCTGCGGACGGGGGTGGTCAGGTTGGCTGCGGGGCGGGGACACATGGGGACACACACACGCGCACACACACACACACACACAGCGTGGTGGGGCGCCCGGCTCCCGGGCTTGGCGCTCACCAGCTCGTTGGCGTGCTTGGACCAGGCGAGGTTGCACACTTGGGAGCCGGTGTCGATGCACTGCAGCGGCTGGCCCGTGAGAGTGTTCCAGAAGCGGATGCAGCGGTCAGCCGTGCCGCCGCCCGACGCCAGCAGGCCGTGCTGGTGCGGGGACCAGGCGATGGCTTTCACGGCGGCCAGGTGCTCGGTGTACTGCTGCACGGGGCTCAGGCTCGAGTGGTTCCAGACCAGGAGCTACGGGCACAGGCGGTGAGGCCCTGGCCCAGTGGGAGGCGCGAGCCCCCAGCCTCCCCAGCCCCCCAGCCCCCCGCCAAGCTGCAGGGCCGGGCTGCCCATGCACCCCACCACGCCCCGCCTGCGGGGACGTCCCCGGGCTCGGGCCATACCTTGTTGTCGTTGCCCCCCGAGGCGAGGAGCTGGTGGTCGGTGGACCACTTTAGGCCGCAGACCTCCTGGCGGTGGCCCTGCAGCCGCCGCTCCGACTGCAGGGGTGGGGTGCGGATGTCCCTCTGCAGGATCATGCGGTCGCGGCTGCCCGACGACAGCTGCTCGGCGTTCCAGGCCAAGGCCCCTGCAGCGGGAGGCAGGAGGCGGGAGGCAGGGTGAGCGAGGTCAGGGCCGGGCCCACCGTGCAGCCCGCCACACCACGCCAGACTCCTTACCAACGCGTGCTGTGTGGCCCTCCAGCATGGACAGCTTCTTCCCGGCCGCCGCGTCCCAGATCTGCACGAAGCCCTTGTGCGTGCCCACGGCCACCAGGTTCCCCTGAGGGTGACAGAGGCCAGGCGTGAGGCTCCGGTGCCACCCAGTACCCAGCAAGGGGGTCAGCGCCCCGCTGACGCCCCGGGGCCTCCTCACCATCTAGGATGTGAGCAGGTAACGGTACTGTCCGTCCCCCCCGACTGTGGGGCCCTGTGGGCTGCAACCCTGCTGGGGGGTGAGCACCCCGGGGAGGGCTCCAGATGGCACACTGGGTTCCCCGGCACTCACCCGCTCAGACCAGCCCACTGACGTCACCGAGTCCCCTTCCACGGAGAGGTCACAGAGCCGGGTCACCTGGGGGCAGAGGGCACGTGAAACATGTCCCCATCCTGTTACTTGGCACCAAGGGGCCACAGGGACCATCTGGCACCCTGCGATTCTTGGGATGACGCAGGTCAGCAAGGAGAGGAGAATGAAGGAGCGGGGCACAGGGGTACTGGGGTGAGGAGTCCCTCACTTTATCTCAGAGGCCAGTGTTGAGGGGTGGCCCCTGCCAAGTTGGGCCTCAGCCAGGCGTGGGTGGCCACAGGGAGGGACATGTGGGGCATGCCACCATGGCTGGCAGCCTGGGCTGGAACACAGCAGACGCCGAGCGCCCTCAGAGGCAGCGGGGGGCTGCCATGCCCCACCCAGCCCTGGGGCCCAGAAAAGCTGACCCCGCCACACCAGGGCCCACGGCTGGCGCCCACCTGGCTGGTGCAGGCACTCCACAGGTAGACGCAGGTGCCCAGCCCCACGCTGAGCACGTTGAGGGACGACCAGTCCACCAGGTTCAGGTAGAAGTCGTCCTGCAGCTCGGGCGCGTCCAGCACCTTGAAGGGGATCTTGGAGATCTTGCGCGTGGGTTTCCGTGGGGAGCGCAGCAGCTTCTGACTGTGGAGCAGGGGCCTGCGGCTTTCTGCCCATGCGCAGAAGCATCGCCCCGCCCTGCCTGGGGCCCAGCCCTGCTTCTCTGCTCATCATCACCTCATCCCAAATCTGCAGCTTGCCGTCCTGGGCTTCTGCTGCCCCGTTCTTCCGGGGCTGCTGTCTGGGGGTCCTTGGGCCACTGGGTGGGCTTCTTCACTGCCTGCACCGGGCCCCCACCCGCCGAGGGCCCCGACTCACCTCTTGTTACTGACGGGGGATAAGGAGTAAGGGGACACGTCGTTGCCATCATCGGGGCTAGAGCGCTTGGCGCTGAGGGAGTACTGGGGACAGAGGACACCTGCTAAGGGGATGCCAGGGCTTGGGGGCTTCACACCCAAACCCAGAGCACCTGAAAGCATGGAATCGGGTGGAGACAGCAGGGACCGCCCAGGCCTTTGCCCATGGGCTTCCCCAGCAACTGTGGTTCTGGCCCTGGCCACGTGGGCTGGTGTTAGGGCCACGCCTGATGGGAACCCGCGCAGCAGAGGACAGGGCCCCCGCGTGGCTCACCGTGAACAGGCCTTTCCTCTCGGGAGTGGACGGCTGCAGCCGTCGGTCCTCCGTCTGTGGGTCCTGCACCTTCTCGATGCCGGCACCCAGCAGCTCGTTCTTCAAGAGGGCTGAGTAGGCCAGGCCGTCT